GGCCTAACTTAAATATTTATTTACCATGGTTGTTCTGCTATTGTCATTTCTATTATTACACATCCTAAACTTCATTCATCATCTCTTCTTCCATATTTCTTTTCTATCACCAATAATCTTAGAGCCATGCATTTGAAAGAACAATTATAATTACCATATTAATAATAACAATACTCTTTAATACACTAACAAAATTCTGTATCAGATAAATTGATCGCTTCTTTCCATGATGATCAAAAATCTGCTCTCCTATACACTTCTGCTTTTCTATGCAAATAAATCAACCTGTCCTAAATTTAAATCATAAATTTTCTAATTACTGTTTCATTAAACTTTCCAACCTATAGTAATCTGTCAGATAAATTCGCACCTATTTTAATCCATATATACAAATACCATCCAAATATCATTTAACATTCCTGCTTCTATCATATACCCATAATATTACATTATATTTTTATGAATCAATTTAGACAGAATAATGATCTTATCATCAATTGATTCTATCACACTTCATTATTATATTTAAAATAATTCATCAACTCTTTATCCATGAATTAATTTGATTCTTATTGACTGATCTTTTTGCCCAATCTGAAATCATACACATATCTAACTGTATTTTAAAAGATTTCAACACCAGAAGAGCTGGTTTTCTTATTCTAAATCCTTAAGCAATTTGATGGTAATGAAAATAAATTATTCATCTGGATTTTAATTGTTTTAATAAATTAACAATTGATATGATATGCTTGAACATAGTTCACAAATTCTTAACAATCAAATTTATTTCTAATTTCACTTTAATTTAAAACACAACTTTTGTAATTACAAGATATTTCGATAAATTATTTTTAAATCGCTTTTTTTTTCACCGTTTACATTTAGAGAGAAGAATTCTGCATTCTTTCTCATCTATTTCATTGATATATTTAATTAGATTCCTTGTTATTTCGAATCTATTTGATTGGAATTCTCAACGAGAGAATTATTTTTTATTTGAGTTTAAATTAATTTTTTTGTAATATTAAATTATTATCAAATTAAATTAAAAATGTGGAAATAAACTTTCGATCCATATCCTAATAATTTAAAGCAATTATTTATAGAATTTATTTTCAAGTGATTAGAAATATCATTGCTTTTTTAAACCTCCACACTATTAAAAATTTTATTAAAACAGGTGATTCAACACTAAAATAACCTTCATTACAGTAACATTCTATTCCATGATTTGTTCTTTATCATAATCGAATTCAAAAGAAAGGGTTTTATGTAACTTAAAAATTTAAGAATGTGGAATTACTTAAATTCTAATTATGAACTTGAAGCTGATTCATTTTGATTGATCCAAACTTAAATTCTCATTATATGATATCCTTTTATAATTATTAAAAATTTATATAAATTATTTTTATTATTATTCTACCTGTTAGGGAGAAGAGAAAATATATTAAATTAAATCAATAAATTTTTTCATATTCCTCTTATTTGATTAACCTATCTATAATGCTCTCTATTTGTTTTCTCCATTTTATCATATTTGTTTACCTTATAATCTTCTAATCAAAGGTGTTTATATTATTCTCAAGGATCTTTTACTAAATGTTCATTAGTATCTTTTTTGTTATGTGTTTGATTAACCAATTTATCACAAGTATTTGTTGGTACTCTCATTAAAATTTTTAGAAATCCTTTATATAGTCTTATAATTTAACTAAAGTAGTACTTAAATATTAAAAATGGAGTCTAATATAAGCCATCCCAATTTGTATCATTTAAATAAACTTAAAAAAGAGTATTTTTATTAGTAAAGGAATTAAGATGGATTACTTAATTTATAAACTGCAAGGAAATCTTTTAAATTTCCTTTTCTATTAATTACAATTACTAGATATGTATATTTTTCTAAGATAAGATGAAATTAAATGTTACTTCAGATTACTTATTATATCTTTTTAATTAAATCTAAATTAATTTATAATTTATTAATGTCATGTATGTGTCTTTTATACAAAAAAAAGCAGAATTAATAATTGTTATAAATTCATTTCTTGGATAACCTCCTCGGAGATAGTTAAAGAAATAATAAATATAGTTAATAGTGCCACAATTTATTATAAATTTTCAATTACAAAGCTACAAAAATAATCCTTCTATCCTACTTCTTAATTTCCAATAAATAGTAGTGAGTATTAACTTGTTGATTGAAAAATATAGGAAACTGGAAGTACTCAAAATACTATGCTGGGATAAGATATTTTATTTTCCATTCATAAATTTAAAAAATTGCAATCTAATACAACTTTAGAATGTATATATAAAATGGTACTTGAAGTGCTGATATTTGTAAAACAAGTAAAAAAAATTAAGATTTCATTCTCAAATGTGAATAATTGAATCCTACTTCAATTATGGAATCAATTGGTTTAATTTTAAATAAAGGAAATTAGGTTTTTTCCCTTTAATTGTAGCAGGTACATGGGAAGTGGATTATTTAGTTATCAAAAGTAATATAGTAGTCACTTTAATAATATTTATATTATACAGCAACGCTATTGACACAATCATTAATAACTTTAACCTAATTTACTGAAGCTCATTATACATTTACTAAGGAAATTTATGAAAATAATAGATAATCTAAAAGAAATGGTTTTTAAGGTTTATGCATTTAATTTAGATAGTGTATTAAACTTATAGATCAGTATTCCAATAATGCTGCAAAAATAAAAACAATTTATGTGAGTCCATCATTAATTTCTGAAATTGGCTGAGCTATTGCATCATATTTACCTAAAGATTATAAATTCATTTTAAAATTGAATTTAGTTTATTTTTTTATTTATTTTAACTTCGACTATATAGACATCAGAATCTGATAATCCCAATAAATGGTGCATCAGGTTTAGATATAGTTCCTAATACTTCCATCATCAAAATATAAGCAGGTAATCTTGATGAAAATAGTGGAATGGATTCTGCTTCTTATATAGAATACGAAGTAAATCATATAGAAATAAATCTATAAATTACTATTCAATTTATTACTCCAATTAAAAACTTTTTTTCTTTGCTAAATATAGCTTGTAGAAGTAAGGGAATATCGGCTACTTGTTCAGTAGATAATACGTGTAAACTTAAGAATACTTTTTTATATAATAGAATGTGATTAAGATTCACAAAATTAGTTTATTATGTAGCTGATGCCAAAGTAAATTCTTTATTATATTCATATGAAATTGAAAATCAGGCTACTGTTAAATGTGAAATTATAGATTATCATATGTTTAATTAGATTGTTAAGTATGTTGTTAAACTTATTCTGGTCCATCTGATAAAGATTGTATTACATTCAATAATGTCGTATAATCAAGTTGTTTTAGATTGTCCATCTAATTATTCTATAGTTTTATAGATTATTTATAGAATACTCTGAGTAATCCTGAACATGTTATGATGAATATGATTTGCTATTCAATTAATGTTTTTATCATGTCCTATCAAAACATAAGGATTGAATAAAATTTTACTGCTTATATTATCCATAATATCTCAAAACTATTTATCTCTCCTTATGATAGTGAGGAGATTATGGTGATGATATTACTAGATCATGTAAAAAATGTCATTAAGCATGTAAAGAGTTTACTAATCTTCGTTTCACATAATGCTCTACATTTTCTGATAATACATACATGTTGGTTTTAGATTCTAAACTTGTCAAGTTAATATATAATTTGTAATATATTATTAACGGGAACCTGTTATAGTTATAATACTATTTATAACCAACATTAACATCAATCTGAATTTATAGATGGTAAATAGTAGTAAATTATAATTTAATTTACCTTCAGAGTAAAAGATTAATAAGGATGATATACATCATTAACCTCAGTTTAATGAATTAAATGGAAAGGAAGAGAAAATTAATTTTAACTTTAATCACCTAGCCAATAGGTAAGCTAAAATTAATAAAGATACAAGAGATATTTAAGTTGCTTTGATTAAGTATTAGATAGTGATTATTTCTTAAATGGATTCAAATCACAAAAGCACTTAAAATAAACTGTTATTATATCTAAGTCTTTTTTAGATGAAGATGAGGAATAACAAATAAAATAATTGGAAAACCTAGAAAAAGAAATACCATAAATAATTAAGGCATCAATATTAAAACAAGAAATTTGGAGAGGTTATAAGACAACATATGTATTATGATATTATAAGAAGTTTCTTGTGAAGATGAATCAATTATAGTTTAGAATTAGATTAAGTTATGATAGATTCTAAACAATATATTTAAAATTTTATATTATATTTAAAAATATATTCATTCTATTACAAATTCAACTATATCATAATACGAAACTTGAGTTAGACATAATCTTATTTGGAACCTTTAAG